ATATGTTATTTTCACCGATTTCCAAGAGCCAATAAAGTTAAAGAATTTAGATACATGAGAATAAATATTGCCATAATACTCCCCTACTTTCATTGTTAGACAATATATTCAACAACCTCAGTTACAATAACAAAAAAGAGAAAAAGATTTCTCAATAGCCAAATTACATGATATAGTGTCCAAGAATTTATTCAAACTGACTTGGTAAATAATCTAGACCCATGATTAAGAACAAACACATAGGTCTTGGAGAAAGTGCAGCCAGAGAGCTCCTTCGAGGCAGGATGGTGAAGGCTTTGACTGACATACTTTGTGAACATTGTTAGGAGGGACTATTACTTAGAAGAGGGCATCATGCTTGGTAAGGTGGAGGGTCAGCGAAAGAGAGGAAGCCCCTCAAAGAGATGAACCGACACAGTGGCTGGGCTCAAGTAAATCAGAGATGATAAGGATGGTACAGGTTCGTACAGGGTTCAGATCTACTGTTCCCAAGTCATTATGAGTTATACTTAATGGCACTTAACCACAACAATTGGTATGGAAAATAAATAAAGGAAAGAAAGATCGTTAAGCTTCAATACTGATTTTTAGGTTGCCTTAGTGTCCAGAATTAGGATGGTAAAAATTTCATGAAAGTCAACTTTGGTGAATTCTGGGTCTGTTAAGGCTAGCTCCTATAGAAACTAGAAAAGAATTGTAAATATCTAAAAAGAACAGCAGATATTGATTGCTTTTATTAAAAAGGGGTGACACTTTGAACAACAACAACAAGAAAGACTTAGATGGTCAGCTTCAGATTAATGTTGCCATTCAAAAGAAATTAAGAGTTCACAAGTAGGAGCTAAGTGGTAGAGTTAACCTAAATACAAAGAAGTGTCTAAGATCTCAGCAACACCCTACAGATCAGGCCACCAGAAAAAGATCAATGAAAGCTGCCACAGGAGGCGAAAGAGTCAGATCTCTGCAAATACCTATGCAGCTCTTGGAGTGGGAGTGGGAAGAGGAGGCAGATGTAGAACCCTGAAAAGTTCTGCCCCTCGGTTCCCCAGCCTCTCACAGCCCCACTGTACTGCTGTTTCTTTTTTTTTTTTTTATAAAAAAGGTTAGTTCCATTCACTTGTTATTAGAACCAAAAAAATTTAACCAACACACTAATGCATAGCAACATCCCATTTTGGGGGATAAGAAATCAAGAGTATAAATCAGTATATTTATATGTAAATATGTAAGGTCAAAAGTATCCGTAATTTGGGAGAACTTGAGAGACAGCATGTAAATGTTCAGATGAATTTGTTTAGGTCATTAACTCTCACTTGATGAGAAATTACTTCTAAACCTAAATACTTTCAGGGAACTACATATCTGAGGTGGGACATGAAATGGATATGGCTATGTTAGGAAGGCAATGAAAGGAGACTAAAGGCAAAGGAGTAAGAGCCGAACAGGGACTACTAAATCTTTTTCCAGTAGTTAATGTACAGAAAATAGGTGCTCTTTGATCTGCCTTGGCAGAGATTAAGAGTATTTGTACAAGGTTTTGGCTTCTGATAAAAGAAAAGGAAGTCACTTATCACCATACCCAATGAAAGTGCTTTAAGGGAAGCCCTGGTCCACTCTTACCACTATTGCCAGCCATGACACTGACTGCCTTCCTTAAGGTTTGTAGAGAAGAGCTCTGGCAGCTAAACTCTTTTAAAAAGACAGCTAAGAGAGTAGATGTAGAAATTCTCCAAGGAAAATTCTTTATTTCTATTTTTTTTGTGAATGAAAAAGGATAACAAACAAATATCCTATGAACTGAGACGTAGCCATAGGGGAAATACTTAGTTCTTTTAAGTCTGGGGAAACAAATAATAATATTTGGACAATTTTTCTGGAGGACTCTAAGGTATACGTTCTGGATCACAAAAATAGGCAAGAATGCTTGTGTCTAAAAATGTCATTTGTTATCCATATGGATAGGAACGCCATAGAAAGCCAGTAACATAAAAAAGTTCATGTAAGACCAGGCTTTAATGTGTGTAGATTAAGTTTATTTTGTGCAGAGTAAGTTTATTAAGTTTTCTTAGTTAAATATGAAAAACAATAAAAGGGGAAATTTCTGTAAGATGCCTTAAGAAACAACTTCTAAAATAAATAAAGGGGTGTTTCTGAACATTCCTTAAAATCTTTGTTAATTTGTTCCTAGAACCCTCCTCCAAGAGGAAGTTTTGATATGCTTCCTTATTAAGGGTCACAACGCCTCCAAAGACACAACTGTCCCTTTTCGCTTTAAAGTACAGAGGAATGAAATCTAGCCTTCTGTTCTCCTACAAGAACAATCACTTTAAAGTTCATGATTTCAAAGGTGAAAGGTTAATAAAGTAATGATAGTTACACAATTTTTTTTCCTCAAGCTACCTCAGCAGTTTATTTCCTACTAAGGCTCCATACCTAATTCATACTTTATAGATGTTTTCTGAAAGATCAATACAGCATAAGACAATAAATTAAAAGTTTGTTTTAAAGGAATCTCTTCTCATCAAATGGTGTGCCTTGTTAGCCCATGAAAGAAACAACTGGAGAACTTAGGTTGGAGCTTAAAAAAACAAATTATTAAATAAAGATTTTTAGGGACCGTTTCTTAAATAAACAAAGTTCATTCCCTGGTTGTTTCTTTCACAATAAGCAGTCATGCCTTCTCTTAATGGTAAGAGCTTTATTTTAAAAGCAAACAAAAATTTAGTGGCACTCAAATTCACTAGCAGGTTCCAAGGGAGAAAAATGGGCAATATCCTCCTATATGATTTACAGCTCCCTGACACCTACTTTTCACACTGAGCAAATCAGTTATAACTCTTCCAATTCAACAGCATCAAAGCTGTTGAGTTGTTTAGTGACAGAACAACAATTAGGGTTAAAACAAAAAGTTTAATTTATATATTGGGGGTGGAAATCTTAAGAGTAGGAAATAAACTAGACAGTGATATGGCTTGAGCCTTTAAGATCATGCAACTATCATGACTTTATTAACCTTTCTTATTTGAAACCATTTACTTTAAAGGAGATGTTCACAACTAAAGATCTTAACAAGTTTCTTGGACAGATGAGATTTTCATTCTTCTTTTAAAAAACTGAACAAACGTTTTTTTCAATTACTGACTAAAAGCAGTGGTACAAAGCCAAATAAGACCTTCTCTTATGATGCTTATTCTGAGATGAGGAGATACAGGAATAAACCCCACAAGATGACTGCACTGACAGTGACTAAAGAAGCGACTGAAGCTACCACGAAGATAACCTCTGAATTTATATTTGAAGGTTTCCAATAGGTCATCTTTCAGTCACATCATAGATTGATTGTACATGAAATAAATTAATATTGATGATAATGTGCTGTTAAAAACTAACTCCATGAGATCAAATGATTAACATTTATACAAAAGCAAAACTTAAGGTGAAAAAAAGAAGCAAGATCCATGCAAACAGAAAAATAATGGAACGGAAATAGCAGTATTTGCATAAAACTTGTTCAAAGGATGTCTAATTTGCTGTGTACCTAAAACCTGTGTACCTAATTTGCTTTTACCTAAAACGCAAAAAAACCCCCAGTGCTTTGCAAAACAAAACAAGATAAGCTTTATAACAGAAAATATGCACAAGGAATCAATAGTCTCCGATTCACATTAGAAACCACTATTAGAAACTACACAGCAGGCAAAGCAACAGACACTAAATGAGTCAGAAGTGAAAGATCAATACTGACTGGATTAAGAGTAAGGTGGCTTCAAGGAGCTGAGACCAAGGAAAACATTTAAAATAACAAGGTGTCAAACAACAGGTTAAATTACTCTGTGGTACTGATTTTACTTTTACATACACATGCAGATTAGTTTCCTTAGAAATAGAAAGCTGAACATCCATGTTTACTGTTGCATTATTTACAACAGCAAAAAGATGGAAGCAATCCAAATGACCATCAACAAATGAATAGATAGAAAAGATATGGTATATGTATACAGTGGAATACTATGCAGCACTGAAGAACAATGAACTCATAAAACATTACACCACATGGGGGACCCTGGAGCACATTTTGCTGTGTGAAGTATTTCAGTCACTAAAGGACAAATACTGCATAGCGCCACTGTTATAAAGTAGGTCTAACATGAGAGGTTGGAAGGAGATTAGGATAAGAGTGGATGAATAATGATCACTGCAGTGGAACAGATTAAGGGAAGAACTGAATAAAAAAGATTTTTTTTTAAAAAAGGAATATATGATTAGGCATTATATGTACTTCAACAGCCCAGAATAAGAGGTCTATCATTGGTGGGGGGAAGGCAGGTAACTGTGCAACAATGAATGAATGTTTAAAAAAAATGTGAACTGGTGGAGAGAGAACAGGGGGTGGGGGGGAATGGATCAACAAAAATCTAATTTCTCTGTAAATGTTTGTTAAATCACAACATTTTATTTCAAAAAAAGAAATAGAAATAAAGGTAAAGTTTACACACAGATAGAATCAATCTTGCATTATAGGGATTCAAAGGTGGGGGAGGGGTTTAAAAATTAGTAAAAACATAAGTTGGGTGAAAGGAAAGGCAAAATTATATTAATCGATAGCAACTGATGTTATAAAACAAAATATCTATGAATGATTGCATGAAACCCAATTATGTGCAAGCCTTCACGCAAATAAATTAACTAAAACAAAAAACCAAAACAAAAAATCTAAAAAGGTTAAGTGAGTCAATTGCTTCTGTGTACAAAAAAGAAAGAAATTTCATTTCTAGAACATTTCTGTTTAAAGTGTATCATCTGAGACATAGTCACTAATACCTAACACTTGTGGCCTATCTGCTCAAAATACTGTATAAGAAAAAGCAACACCCTCTGATATCATGATTATGTCAATACCTAAGCATGCTAACAACAAAAATCAGTATTAAAACAAAACAAGCATACCATGTACATTTACAAAACAACTTTATTGCAATAATGTACATTGCTATTCTTACCGTGTCCCATATCTGCAGTTTGATCTGTTTTCCATCAATAGTTATCATTCGAGCACCGAACTCAACACCTAAATAGAAAAAAAAAGAATTGGTTTCACAAAGTGGTGGGGATATGTGTCACATCTGAGGACTAAAAAAACAACATCTATTTCCAGGACAGACTACACTAGGATCAACTTTAACAAACAAGATAGAAACCACCTGAGGGTCCTGATTTCATGTAGTCAATATTAAGAAACCAACTATGGTCTTTATGATTATCAGTTTCAAATATACAAACAATTAGAAAAATAGGTATTAGAGCTATAATATACTAGTAACAAATATAAGAAACTATATGAATAATAAATATAGTGTACAATAATAAAAAAAAAAAAAAAAAGGACAGCTGAATTTCAACATCAGTCTTTGATGTTACCCACTAGGAAGAAGTGTTCAAATCTATTAGAAAAATCAGTTTATCCCTTCCTAAAAAAATACACATATAGAAACAGATTTATAATTTTCTATTAATTTTTATAATTTCTACAAAGATAATTTTTCAATTATGTGTACTGATCTACAGTTTACATTTTTACTGATATCTTAAATATTTCATATTATGAGGTCATTCCATGTTATACAAAATACCATTTTTAAGCATGTTCACTATATTCCATTATATATACATAAGCACACAGATGTAAGTTTATAACATGCATATACAAATATATAATATTTAATAAAATTGGTACTATATTTACTTTAAATTTAGGTTGTGCTTAAATCTTCACTAAGTTTCCAACATACACTTTTCAATTTATGATTATAAATTTGGGCAAATTACTTGAAACAGAATTGCAGATCAAAGGAAACAGACATATTAATATACTCAATACTACTTTACTTGCCTTCATTACCCTTTTCAATTTTTAAAGTACCAAAACAATCATCAGAACAGAAGGAGGAAAATGAGGACAATTTCAGAACAGTAAATTAAGTATGAAAATGTTAAGTCAATCACAAATAGCAAACCATTACTGTCTGAGCCTTCAATACGGATTATGTTTCAATAGCACAAAGACAAAAACCCTTGCTTCCAGGCTGATAAGCAACATCATGATCGATGGGGAAAAGACTGACATTATCAACGATGTCATCTTACTGGGACCCACAATCAACATCTTTGGCAAGAGCAGTCAAGAAATCAAAATATAGGGGAGCTCTGGTGGCCTAGTGGCAAGGACCTGCAACTACAATCCCTGAGGCAAACGGTTCGAATCCACCAGATGCTCTGCCGGGGAAGGAGGGACAATCTCCTCCTGTACCAGTCAGATCTGATTTGACGGTACACACACACGAAAATAATAAAATTTAAAAACAAACAAACAAAAAAAAGAAATCAAAATATGTGTTGCAATGGGTAAGTCTGTTATCAGGGGAACTCTCCAAAGTATTGAGGAGCAATGATATCAGTTTAAAGACTAAAGTGCAAAAAATAAAAAAAAAAAAAAAAAAAAAGACTAAAGTGCATCTAATTCAGGCCATGGTCTTTTCAATCACTTGCTATGAATGTGACAGATGGACAATGAACAAGGATGACAAAAGAATACAATGGCTTTGAGTTGTGGTGTTAGAGGAAAGTGCTGAATACCTCAAAGACTACCAAAATGACACAGATAAGTCTTAGATAAAGCGTAGCCAGCCAGAGTGCTCCTCAGAAGCAAGGATGGAGAATGTTGTCTCACATACTTTGTGCATACTGCTAGGAAAGGTTGTTTGTTTCTTGGAAAAGGCCTTCATACTTACAAAGGTTAGCAAAAGAGAAGATGACCTTCAACCAGACAGACTGACACAGTGACAGCAGCAATAACCTTATGTATGTCACAGATGAAGAGGATGGCATAGGACAGGGCAGGGTTAAGATTTGTTGTTCATAGGGTTGTTATGTGTCATACTCATATGACAATGGTACTTATATTCAATGGTACTTAACGACAGAATGACCCTAGAAAAATTGGAAGCTTATAAACATGAAATGGAACAGATCACTATCACAGGCATCAGTGAGTGGACATGGACTGGTTCTGTCCAATCTGAACTGGACATCATAATGTCCACCATGTTGAGAATGACAAGTTGCAGAGGAATGGCAACATGTCCACTGTTAAAAAGAACATTTCAAGATCTATCCTGAAGTACTGCCAGTGATAGAATAAGATCCATATGCATACAAGGAAAACTTGTTATATAACTAGCATTCAATTACACACCAGCCACCAAAGCAAAGATGAAGACATCGAAGTTTACAGCAATTCTGCAGTCTGAAATTGATCGAACTTGCAATCAAGATGCACTAGTAATTGCTGACTGCTGACTGGATTGTAAAAGTTGGCAACAATGAGGACAGATTGGTGGTTAGGTAGTATAGCATTAGCAACAGGGGAAGGAGGCATGAGTTATTCTGTACAAATGAAAACTTACAAATACCTTTAAAAAAAACACCAAACACATAAAAAACAACTGGTGAACCTTGCCAGATGGAATCAAATAGGTGGAAAGAGACAATGAAGATGCCCAATACCATCAGTCAGAATGAGGCCAGGGGCTGAATTTGGAATAGACTGTCCATTACTCGCAGCCAAGTTCAAGACGAAGAAAATGAAATCAGTCCACAAGAATCAAAATATGACTGAGTATATCTTCCCTAACTCAGAAACCACCTCATTAACACAGTGAGATAGCGTCTAATAAATGCTCTGAACACTACAGACTGAAGATCCAATGAGTTGTGGATGGTATCAAGGACAATATACATGAAGGAACCAAAAAGTCATTAAAAATGTAGGTTATAAAGACAAACTTATTATCAAGAGACTGTGAAACTTGCTCTAGAACATAAAAAAGCTAAAGTGAATGGAAGATAAGATTAAATGTGAGGAACAGAGAATTTCAAAGGGCATTTGGAAAAGACAAAGTATGACAGTGAAATGGGCAAAGTCCAAGAGTTAGTAAACCAAAAGAGAAGACTACATTTGGCATTTCTCAAGCCAAAAGAACTGAAGAAGAAAGAATACTAAGTCTCCAGTTGCAATAGTGAAGGATTCTATAGGCAAAAATCATTGATGAGGCAGGAAGCATTTAAGGAAGAAGAAATAAATATGTATTGATATCAAACAGAATTGGTCAATACCTATTTTAGGAGGCAGAACAGGATCAAGATCCAATGGTACTGAAGAAAGAAATAAAAACTATACTAAAGGCAATGCATGAGAAACTGTTGTTATGTGCTGTTGAGTTGAACTCTTAGCGACCCTATATACCATAGTCCTGAAACCTACTCTATCCTGTGCTAACTTTACTGCCTCTGAAACACCTACCCTCATTATCCCAGTCACTGAATCAATCCATTCCATCGATGGTCTTCCTCTCTTTCTCTGTCCTTCCAAGCATGACATCCCTCTCCAAGGACTGGTCCCTCCTTGTAACATGCCCAAAATATGTCAAAGTCTCAGAATCCTTGCCTTCAAGGAGCAGTCTGGTTTCACTTTCTCTAAGATGACCTTGTTCTCCTGGCAGTCCATAGTATATTCAACATCTTTCTCCAGTACCACAGCTCAAAGGCATCATCAATTCTCTTTCATCCCTAGTGATTGTCCAGCTCTCCGATGCATAGCAAGCAACTGTGAAGACTATGGCCTGGATAAGGCACCCCTTAACTGACCCTGATGCTCTTCACTACCTTGGAGAGGTCTCGGACAGCAGACTTTTCCAATGCCATTGGTCCTTTGATTTCCTGGCTGCTGGTATCCAATAGTGATGACTGTGGAGCCAAGCAAACTAAAGCTGTAAACAATCTTGATCTCTTCAACATCTATCATAATGCTGCTAATCGACCCAGTAATGAGAATCTTTGTTTTCTTGATGTTGAGCTTCAATATATACTGACGGCTGCAGTACTTGACCTTCTGCCACAAGCATTTCAGGTCCTCCTCAGAATTTTCTTTTTTAGCATTGTTTTTGTTATTTAGATTATGACCAATTTTGGAGATTTCTGCCATTTTCTAGATTCTTAAACAGTCTAAGTAAAATTCATCAGTGCAGCTTTCTGGGCAAGATTACTTCAGCTGCAAGTTTTTTTCTAGTGACTTTTTCAATTTTCTATTTTGATGAGTATTATGTCTCTGTTCACTTACATAGGTAGTGTGTTTCTTAAAATTTGTCTATTTCTTCTAGGTTTTCAAATTTTGGGGAATAAAGTTTTTCACACTCACAGTGGATTCTGGCTCATGGCAACCCTTCAATGGATTTCCGTGGCTGTAAATGAACTGGAGGTTATGGTCCATCTTTCTCTCTAGGAGCACCTGGTCGACTCAAATCCCCACAGAAAATCCTGGTTAGCAGTGAAACATGTTACAGACGATTCTGCTATTATCCTTTTAAGTTAGATCTATTTTGCTATCACTGATTTAATACTTTAGGGGAGCTCTGGTGGCTTAATGGTAAGGAGTTTCACTGCAACTCAAATCCACAGCTCTTCTGCAGGAGAAAGATGGATAATCTCTTTCAATGCAATTTACAGTTTCTGAAAACCCACTAGAGGGTGAGCTATGAGTCTGTTCTGAATTTCTTATTTGTGATTATGTCCAAGATCACCTCCTTCTTTTTCTTCATTAGACTTTCAAGTAGCTTGCTGATCACATGAATCCTTTGAAAGAACTAAATTTCTAGTTATGTTAATTCTAATGGAGATATTTTAAGAAATAGATGTAACAAATAGGCATGCTCACTCATCTAAGCCAAGAAATTTGGAACACAGCTATCTGGCCAACAGAAAGAAAACAAAAATCCTCATAAATGGACCAATAAACAGCATCATGAAAACCAGAAAAGACTGCTGTTGAAGGATTTTGTTGTATATGGATCAATGCCTATAGAAAAAAAATGTTAAAGTATTAATCAAATAGACTCCACAAAGTTTCTAAGTGCTAAAGGGCAAGAATGTCACTTTGAAGTCTAAGGTGCTCTTGACCCAAGCCATGGTATTTTCAATTGTCTCATGTTTGTCTAAGTTGGAAAAGGACTAAAG